AAGCTTTGATGGTGAAGAACAGACAACAGTTGTATGAACAGTCTCTCCATCTCAGCTGCTGAAGCTGGTTCATTTAGAGGAGTCATAGGAGTCTTGGTGGCCTCCTTCACTAGTCTCCTTCTCGTACCTCCTTTAGAGGAGTCATAGGAGTCTTGGTGGCCTCCTTCACTAGTCTCCTTCTTGCTCGGTCACATTGAGGACGTCGTACTCTGGTCACATCTACTCGTGTGCCGTATTCCTTCCATTTCTTAATGATGGATTTAACTGGACTCAGAGGGATTTAAAGTAACTTGGTAATGATCTTGTAGTTGTCTGTTGACTTGTCCAGATTCCTAATTAATTGATATTTGTAGAAATCTGTTGCCACTTTGACATCTAAGAGTCTTTTTTTGCGATTTCTTTGGGGGGAAGCAGCTTCCTTATGTAGGCCATGATTCAGTGCTGAAAGGCAGGAGAAAGAGAGACCTTCCAGTGGGGGTGAGCACTGTTTATAGAAACTGTAAATGGTCTGTATGAAGCAGAGGAAAGTTATTTTGTTGTTGTATTTCAGTTTCCAGTGGAGCGTTTGTGTCCACAGTCTTTACAGTGGAGGTGCTGAGTGCACTGTTACGCTGACCTGCAGGAGAACCAGCCAAAACTATGACAAATAAATAGTAAAACACTGGAATTTTCCTGCATAAAACGCCGCTGCTGCCTCCACTCTGACCTTCTTTACGTGTTTACGCTGCAAACCGCATTGTTTTGTCCTAAAAAAGAAACCCTGAGTGAAGCGCGTCACGGTTTCCTCCTGGTGGTGTCAAACTGTGAACGCTGCTTCTGATTCATGCGCTCGCATTTAGAGATTCCTCCGAGGTTTCCACAGACGTCCAAATATAGTGGATAAAAGTGGAGTGTTTGTTGTGGCGCTCAGAGAAATGAAAAACATTAGAAAAATTCAGCAAGAGATGCCTCCGTTTATCCAGACAGTACACAGATTTATGCTGCTGGTGACATGTTTGTGGAAATATTTACTGCGTTTGAGCTTCAAATGTAATTTTTTTTATTCTTAAACACAAATAAAGTTCAGTTTAACTCCATTTTTTGAGGTCTCAACTATTAAGTTCATCTGCATCTGTTTTGATAATTGATTTATTGGTTTCAGGACTTTTTTAAATGAAATTAAACGCGTCTAAATTCTGTGATTGCAGCTTCGTCGATCCATGATGAATGTTTTCTCACCTGAATGGACATTTTAGAGACCAACCAGTTGCTCAAGGAATCCAGAAAATAACCGAGAAATTATTCAAACTCAATGAGAAGAAGTTCAGATTTATGATCCAGCAGAAAAGCTTCTTCGTGAATTCTGGTTTTTAGCTCCGATTTGGTCGCCTCCAGCTGATTGTAGAATCAGATCAGTTGTCATGTGAGGTTTTTGTTTTAATAGTTTGTGTCCTTTCTGTAGTTTTGCGTTTTTCCCTCATTTTGTGCCATTTAGTGCCTCTGTGGTCATTTTGGATCTCGTTTTGTGTCTTTTTTAAACATTTTTCTCTCCTTTTTGTCTTGTTTTTCTTGTTTTGTGTCATTTAGTGTCTCTTTGTGGTCACTTCAAATCTTGTTTTGTGTCTCTTTTACACAGTTTTGTCTTCTTTTGGTCATTTAATGAGCAAAATGCAATTTTCAGACTTTAATGCTGTCGATTGAATTCACAATAATGTTTAAATTAACGANTTTTTTGACCAAACCTTGCAAAAGAAAAAATCACTATTTGTAAAAATACAGAGTTTAAATGTGGACATTATTTACAGCTTTGGTCTGTTTTGTTTGTTTGTTTTTGTTCTTTTGTGTTTTTTACAGTCAACATGAAAATATTTTGAAAAAGTTCAGTCCTTAATATACATAATTGTTCTTTCAAATAACAGAAAAACCTATTAATTACTACTACTACTACTACTACTACTACTAATAATAATAATAATAACAATAATAATAATATTTTGCTGATTTAAATACAGTTTAAAAAAAAGGTATTATTTTATGGTCAAATCTGGCAGAATGCTGATTGTTAATGTGGATGTTATTTACCGTTTTGGTCCGTTTTTAGGGTGAACATGTAAATTGACACGTTTTTCTGTGACTGGATATTATCTGTAATTTAGCAAATCAGTAAAACATCAGTAAATTACCTTTTTAAAAAAATTAAGCATTACATAATAAAGAGATTTCCATCATAAATTAATGCAGAAAATGACACATTGGTGCATAAAAACTGAGCAGAATGCAGAAAAATCAGGGTTTAACTTTCAACATTTCTAATCTAATTAGAATCAAACATTCATAAATAAGTAAATACTTTATTTTATTTTCCTTCCCTCTCTGTGTGCATTCAGTGTGCCTCTCCCGGAGGAACGCCACTAAACGCGCCGGTGGCGCAGCGTCGTGCGCACGTACTCGGTGTATTACGGTGACGCAGCTGCGAACGGACGGACTCACCGTCAGCACCGGCGCATCCGCACCGACAACGAGGCAAGATGGCGACCGAGGGTCAGTTCGAGTACGAGTCGGTCCTCTGTGTGAAGCCCGAAGTGAACGTTTACCGGATCCCGCCGAGAGCATCCAACCGGGCCATCAGGTGAGCGGGGCGGCGGCGGTCCGGTCCCGCAGCCGGTCCCGAGCCGAGCCGCCGAGCTCATCCCGGCCACGCAGCCTCGCGGCGCCGCGGCCACTTGATCCGCTGCTTGTTTCTGCCGCTGTGTGTTTACAAGGTCACGAATAATAACCGTAACGTTGACGGCGGTACCGGACAGGTGGCAGGTGTCGGGACGCGAACGGATCCTCGAAGGTCCGCGTTTACATCCGAAAACTGGGCTCCGATGAACCCGATTTACGGTTTTTATAGAGAAATACCGACATGACGCGCTTTCTGTTTATCCTCATCCGTCTTTATCATTTCACCTGCTCGGATCCGAACCGGTCCAGGTGGTTTCACCGGATACAACAGCTTTAAAGGTCCAATTCAACTCATGTGATTCAGTTCATCAGCTGCCAAAAAGTGGCTGCAGCTTTAGTGGTGTGGCTGAGGTGGTATTAATGCACCAGAGTGACGGACAGGTTCTGATTTAAACATCACAGCTCAGAGCAGAACAGACCAGACCTTTATTTATAAGGTACAGTCTGTAAATTCTATCAACCACAGGATGTTACAGCCATCACACACGACTGGAGGCTTTATTTAGTATTAAAGCTGCAGCTGATGATTATTTTCATCGTGGATTATCATCAATCAGCTGTTTGCTCTTTAAAACATCACATAAAGGTGAAAAATGTGCATCAGAGTTTCCTTAAATGTCCTGTTTTGTCCAAAGAGATTCAATTTGTTGTCATAACGGAGAAAAGAAACCAGAAAATAGACCAGAATTTAGAGAGTTTTAATTAAAAATGACTCAAACCGATTCATCGATTACCAGAATAGCTGATACTGATCTGGTTGCAGCTCCAGATGGTGTCTCCAGTGGTTGTAAATGTTGCGTCTGATTGCACTGATCTGCACATTCTGACTGTTTGATGCAGATTAAAGCAGCGAGAGGCGTTTCTTAACTGGACGGTTCTGCTTTGATAGTCAGTTTGGGCTCTCGCAGTTATTTGGCACAACGTCGTCACCGTGTTACAGTTCGTGCCCACCGTCGTGCAAAAACTGTCGATCTGACTTCTGATTTCATGAAGTTGAAATTTTGGCTGCTTCACGCAAATCATTGTGGTGGAGGGAAAAAGCTTCTACACTGACGTCTAAGTAGCTCCAAGAAGGACTCGTCTCTGATGTGGCGTTTCATTAGAAAATGTCAAATCAGATTAAGCTCAAAATTGTGATACTTCATGAAAACCAAACTATTTTTTATGTCTTCATTTAAAAAATCGCCAAAATGATTCTCAGATTCTGTGAAAAACTAAATCATAAATGAGTTTTTCCAGCATGGCCGACACCTGCGGACACTTCATTAAAAAAATATTTAATTTGTGTTTTTTCTTGTTTTTTCTTTTGTTTTTTTTTGTAAATCAAAGAGCATCTTAATTCTCACCTCACGTGTTTCTAGAAAAACATTTCGGTGATTGTTGTCAGAGGAAGTTTCCAAACGAGCCGCCATGTTGTCCGGTTTGAAACCCGGAGCAGACGTGTGCAGCTTGTCCAGGAAGCAGTTTCAGGACCGCATTTCTAGGACCCTTGTTTTTTTTTTCCCCGACAGCGCCACCTACCAGAGGGAACAGCAAGCAAATAAAAACCCAAACAGTTCAGGTGTCTGGACGTTAACGTGAGAAACAAACTCTGATGTTCTTTAGGCGCCACAAACAGTCGTCTTCCAGCGGATGACAGTTTGCTGCACAACCAGCTGTTTGTTTATCGATTCTTTCTGTCTGCGTCTCCTTCTGCGTAGGATTCCATCTTTATTTACCTGATAACGCCTTAATTGTACTAATTAGACTAAACTCTCAACATGCAGGTGTTAGCAAACCGATTAAACTGCGGGAGAGGAATGACTATTTAGGTGGAATAAACCTTTAAAACTATAAGTACTTGTACAGAAAATAGTGTTTTGTGTGGAATAAGCCTTGAAAAAGTGCAGTTTAAGTTGTGTAGACCTTAAAAACTACAAATACCCCGACAGCATGTCGTACTTTGGGTGGTGTAAACCATTAAAGCTGCAAGTATTTAGACAAAAAGTAGTATTTTGTGTCGACTAAACCCCTAAAACCAAACGTTGTTAGACAGATAGGGCTGTTTAAGTGGTTCAAACCGTTGTAACTGCAAGTACTTGGACAGAATATTGTGTTTTAGGGTATAAACTGAACTGAACGTGGTATTATGAGTGGTAGAAACCTTTTAAACTCTAAGGTGGAGCGCTTAGGGATCACCTGCTTAAGTAGATGATACCGTCGTGAAAACAGCGTCCTGGAAATACGTCCTCCGACTTTCAATCATACTGTCACACAGCAACCACATCTGGCAGCTGTTTTACCTCCATGTCAGGACAGCTGAGGACCAAGTTCTAGGAAAACATCCACAAAATGATCACAGAGAGACACAAAACTACCCTAAAGACACAAAAAACCACCACAAATAGCTGCAAAACAACCACAAAGAACCAAAATGACCAGAAACAGTCTCAAACTGATGAAGAAGAGACACTCAGCAACCACAAAATGACACAAAACACCTACAAAATGACACAAAACAAGTGCAAAGAGACACAAAATGACTGCAAGTAGACACAAAGCAAAGGAAGGAGACACCACAAAGAGACACAGAACAACAGCAAAGAGACACAATACGGCCGTAACAAGACAAAACACCACAAATAGCTGCAAAACAACCAAAATGACCAGAAACAGTCTCAAACTGATGAAGAAGAGACACTCAACGCCCACAGATTGCCACAAAGCAACTGCAAGCATCTGCAAACTGACCCCAAAGAGGCACAAAATGACTGGAAATAGACATAAAAGAACCCTAAGGAGACAAAAAGGACCATAAAGAGGTGCAAAACAACCACAAATAGACACAAAAGGACGAGAAATAGACACAAAACGACCCTAAAGACACAAGAACAACACAAGTAGACACAAAACAATCACAGAGAGCCACTAAATGACTAGAAACAGACTCTGAAGCTCAGACGTGTCACAGACGCTCCGACCGACTCGCTCATCGTCCCTTTCAGGCCTGTCAGTTACCTGCAGCAGAAACGTTGACAGACGGTTGTTTACCAGGGTTCCTATTGGCCGGTCGTCCAGCCCGACCTGCTGCAGCCACTTCTGACTGGACGGCGGTGGCAGCAGGAGGCGTCTGATTGGCTGGCCGAGGCCGTGATGTAACAGCGAGGCGTCTTAGTCACGTTTGGCTCACGGACGAACCGACAGCTTCTGTTTGATTGTGATTCTGCTGCTGCTGCCTCGTGTCTCAGCGAGCCTCCGTCGCTGACCTCGGCATCTGTTTGTGTCTCAGGGCCGCCGACTGGAAGCTGGACGCTCCTGATTGGACGGGACGCATGCGGGTGACGGCTCGCGGCAAAGTGGCCTACGTGAAGCTGGAAGACAAAATGTCTGGTGAGGAGCAGGAGGGACTGTTTACTGCTGCTGTAAATCATTCTGCTGCCGGTTACTCATCTGTTCCAAGGTGACCCGGCCCGGATCTGAACCCACGGCTGCAGCGTTGCGGCTTACGCTGCAGCTCTACCCTTCATCAGCTGGTTCTCTCTGTCAGCTGGTTCTCTCTATCAGCTGGTTCTAACACCAGCTCTAGCCTCCATCAGCTGGTTGTANGTCGATTGAATTCACAATAATGTTTAAATTAACGAGAAGCAGATAATCACTCATGTTTGTTCCTGTTTGTTTCTCTTTTTCTGGTTCCAGGTTGTTTGCTGGACCTGGACTCCAGTAACTCCAACTCGGTGGCTCCGTCCAACCCGACCTCCGGCGCCGACCTGTGGGGAGACTTTGACTCTGTTTCCCCGAAGTGAGGCGACTCTTCCTCGCCCCTCTTCGCCGTCTGTAAATCTACGCAGCTCTTTTTTTGAAACTCTTTTCGTTCTCTCCGTTACGGGGTCCCGTATCTCTCCCTGCCGAGCAGGGTAACCCCCTGTACCGCAAACCCGGTGTCGTTTCAGTTGGATCCCTCACGGTTTTGTGTTCTGAGCCTGAACGGACACAAGCTACTCAGCAGTTTAAATTCTGCCTCTCCATCCCTGACAGTGTTTTATTTCTAATGTAGATTATACATAACAGAGATATCCAGAGAGGCGTGATCATCTCGTCCATATCTAAAGATGAAATCTATGAATGAAGGAGTTTACTGTACAGAGAATATTTATTTTAATGTGTATATATTGTCAGTGGTTTGTAATTATGGTCTGTGGTGTCGTCTCCTTCGTGTAGCTTCTTTCTCTCTAAGTCCCAGCAGTGGGACTGATTATATGCACTGACTGACGGTCCAGTCGCTCTCCGTAGGTCTGCATTTATCGCAGGGATTGTCAAATAGGAGATTTAGATTATTGCAAAGTTTACCGCAAAGCGATTTCACTTGAAAGAGCACGTCGTCGTCGTCGTCGTGATTTACTCTCCGGTGGCTCCGCAGCTGCTCGGCTCTCCGGGGACGGAGCATTGTTCGGGCTGTAAATCAGGACGTCGGCTGGGAGAGGCCGCTAACCGGAGCAAAGAGAGGCAACGAGTGCTTTTATCTCGGCCTCGAGGGGAAATGCGGATGATTTAACCCGCGTTGTGTCATCCGCACAGCTGCCGAAAGCTGCGACCGGTGAGTCACGGAGGCCGCGACCTTCTTCCCTCCTCGGCGAATAAAGTCTGCGTTTCTTGGTCCCGTAAGAGAAGCCGGTCGGGTCAAAGCATGTCGTACTGTACACACGAGTTTAACTGTGAACCTTATTCCATATCCAGATGTTATTTACTCTGACGCGGACAGTGGTGGTGTTCGTTGTCCACTAGGAGGCGGGTCGTGTTGCGCTGGTGTCGCGGACCGTGTGAGTGTAAAGGCCCAGCGGTGTGTGTCGGTGTGTGTTTGTCGTCCTGATTATGTGCATATCTCCCAGACGTTACCTGTAATTCATAAACTGTAAATGTGTATGGAAATGAATATGCAAAGAAAAATATAAAGAAAACACTGAATGACCAAACCTTGATGTGCCGTTGTGTGTTTTTTAAAAAATTCTGATTTAAAGCCTTTTCGTCTGTAAAAAAATATAAATAATAGTGATTAAAAGAAGGTCAACAGAGAGCTTTAAAGGTGCTTAAAGGCCAATTAAAAGAAGATTCAGGAAGACAAACGGGAAGAAGAGACAAGAAGAAAATGATTTTACGAAATAAAAGCATCAGTGGATACAAATCTAAAAATAAAAGCATCAATTAAAAAAAAAAAAGTAGTAAAAATGAAGAAAATCAATAATATAATAATGAATAAAAACAATAAAATGTGTGTAATAATTGTAAATTAATTAAATAAATACATTTGGAAAAAGAATAAAATGGGAGATGTCGCATAAAAGCAAGTCTATAAAAAATGAAATTATAAAACTAAATTGGAGTAATTGTAAATGAATCAGTCAAATAAAAAATAGAATAAAGTCTCTAAAAGTGGGTTTTAAGATACGACTCAAGGGGTCCTGAAGGCAGCAGCTTGGTCACCCTTAAAAAGAGGAAAACGCCAGAAACCATAAAAACAGAAATCAGATTTTCAGCTTCCTGATGGTCCTTGAACTCATCGTGTTGTAGCAGAAAGTTTTTTTCTACCTGGCTGGACAGGTGAGCAGGAAGTGAGGTAATAAATCAGACACGCCTATGAGCTAATGCTAATGCTAACAAAGGAAGCATGAAGGAGTGAAGTTGTGTTGGGAGGAGATTTCCGGAAGACAGGTGCAGTTTCTGGTCATCAGTGGTACAAACTGGGATGATTTAGAGTAAACGGAGTCTTTGGAACCAGAACCGGCCGGATGTTTGAGGTTCTACGAGCAGGACTGGCTGTTTGGACGCTGATGGATGTGTTTGTCGGACCCAGGTTAAGGTAAGACTTCTTTTATTAAATCTAAAAACTGAACTGAAACAAAGTGAAATGAACAGAAATGATTATTTTCTTGAACCAATATTATTTGTGAGTTTCTCTTAATTAAGAGTCTTTTAGAGGAGCCAGCTGTTGGAGATACATTGAACATGGTGGAACATCTCTACAGACAAACAACCACAAAAACAACAAAAAACAAAGAAAAAAATCACCACAAAGAGACCAAACTGTCCAGAAGAGACACGAAACGACACCAACAAGACACACAATGAGGAAAAACGAGACACAAAACAGCAGAAAGGAGACAAAATGGTTAATGGAAATGGAAATAGTTCAATCTGTGTGTGGAAAGAAAACAACCAGAAAGAGACAAAAACTGCCACAAAGACACACAAGTGAGACAAAGAACAACTAAAACAAAACACAAAATGACCACAAAGAGATACTAAATGACACAAAACAAGAACAGAAGACACAAAATGACACAAATTAGAAAAAACTGGTTAAAAGAGACACAAAACAAGACAAAATGACCTCTAAGAGACAATAGATGACACAAAACAATAAATAAATGACACAAAATGACACAAATGAGACATAAAATGACAAAAAGGAGACAAAACTGGCTAAAAGAGGCACAAAACAACATTCAAAATGACCACGAAGAGACACTAAATGACACAAAACAAGACACAAAATGAGGGAAAAAAAGGGGACGCAAAACTACAGAAAGGACATAAAGTGTCTCTGAGTGTTGTGACTATCTCCAGTGTGTGGAGCCTCCATGTTCTCCAGCTGAACATCTGTGGACATTCCAGGTTCTTCGCCTCCTCTCCTTCTTCATGTTGTGTCCGCTGAGCTGCAGGACTTTATGTTTCAGTAAATGATGCAGATTGAAGAAGAGAAAACGCTGACAGGTGAATGAACTGTTAATGTTTTATTGGATACATTAGTGCAGGTGATAATAATACTGGACTGTTGGTGCCGCAGTCCGACTGGTGGCTCTTGTGTTGCGTTACTGACTCAGTGCTGCTATAGAACCGTGACTACAGTACCGTGAGTGGGTCGTAAACCGTGGACACGTGGTCCGTGTCCACACATGAGACGAGCACACCTCCGACATTCACACACAACAGCGCACTCGTACACCAGGTAGATATGACTCAGCGCCGAGGCCCGGCTGCTGGCTTCACGGTGCTACGGGCTGTGTGTTGGCTTTGGTTTCATCAGCATCAGGCCTTGTTGGCCCAGGTTTTGGGGTTGCTACGGCGATTGCGACAGCGTTTCCTATTGGACGACCTCTCGATGCGTCTGGGCCACCCGGAGAGCTCCCGGCACAGCTCGGCTGTTCAGGGAAAAACGGGTTTATTTACAAGTAAACAAAGACAAATAACTCATATTTCAACCATCTAATAAAAATACAACGACTTTCAATGACTAAAGCACATTTTGTAGCCTGAATTTGACACGACCTCAAGTATACTGTTGGATTTTTAACGTTTCATGAAGAATATTTACGTATAAAAACAAAAACCTCTAATAAAAATAACCTCTTTCTCATATAAACAACAAATCCGTGTAAATGCAAATCTGTTGTCGCTAATTGTGCCTCATTTTTGCATTTATTTATAATATAAAACCTGAATTTACCAGCTTCAGCCATCAAAAAAAGAAATTCTAAAAAGTGCATTCTAAAAATGAATACGTATTAAATACCTATCATATAGTGTATGTAAATACACTTTTGTAAAATTATATAAGAAAAAAATTTTGACTGTAGAAATGAACATTTTGTTTAACAAATTGAAAAGTTTATGATCAAATTCTATTAGTTTTTGTTGTTTTTCACTAGACATTTAAATCTGCTTTTTGTTTTTTAGAATTTGACAAAAAAAAAAAAGATATATAAATACATTTTTGTAAAATTATTTTTAAAAATCTGTAGAAATTAAAATTTTGTTCAAGAAACTGGAAACGTTATGGTGCAACTAAAGTTTTTTTTCCGCCCTTATGTTTTTTGTGTGTGTTATTTTGCACTAGACATTTAAATTACTTTTTTCTTTTTTTTTTTGTAATTTGACAAAAAATTACACAATAAAAATCTGTAAAATTACTATATTTTTAAAACTGTTATTGTGCAATAGAAAGGTCAATTCACCATTTATTCTTTATTTATTTATATATTTTAAAAATGAAGAAAACTACTTGGAAAAATAAAAAAGGGGGAAACAATTCCATGTAAAATTCATTTATTTTTCTAGTATTTTTACCATGAGGCCCGTCTCACCTTTCAGGTACTCGTCCTGCTGACACACTGTCCTCATGCAGATCTCGTTGTTGATCACGTAGACTCGAGGGAGGCTGAAACACAATCACACATTATATTACATTATATTATATTGTATTATATTATATTATATTGTATTGTATTGTATTGTATTGTATTGTATTGTATTGTATTATACTGGAGATGTAGATGCAGTCTGACAGCAGTGAAAGTACATTTATCAAAGTACTTTTGAAGTTTTTAACCGCTTGTAGTCAATATTTTTCCTTTTTTCTGCACTTTGACTCCACTGTTTTAACCTTCTGGTGTTTGTTGTCGACCAGAACGCATTATTAATAATCAAAGAAATTACTTGGAGCCTAAGTTGGAGTAAAAACAACAATATTGGTTTTAAGTTTTAGAATAAGTCAGACTTCTACACTGAAATGTCGTCACTTTTTTGGACTATTTTTCGTCATCTTGAACACATTTTGGGTCATTTTAAAAAAGTTTTGATTAGTTTTGGACAGTTTTAAGTTATTTTAAAAATACATTTGAATCACTATTGATGATTTTTACACATTGCTGGACAAATCTGAAATCATTTTGAGCAAATTCTGGAGATGTTTTTTGTTTTATTTTTTAAACAATTGAACAGTTTACCATATTTTTCACAAGAAGAGAACTTAATCGCATCGATCCTTCTGATTGGCTGTTACTGTTGATGTGTAACCAATCAGGTGGAGCTCCTTGTGGTTGTTTGGTGTCTCCTTGTGGAAAGTTTGTGTCACTTCATGGTAATTTTATGACTCTTTCTGGTTGTTTTGTATCGTTTTGTGTCTCTTTGTAGCTGTTCTAAATCCATTTATGGTCATTTAGTTTGTCTGTTGTCATTTTGTATCTATTTCTGGTTGTTTTGTTGCTCCTCATGGACAATTTGTGTCACTTCTTGGTAATTTTGTAACTCTTTCTGATTGTTTTGTGTCATTTTGTGTGTCTTTATAGTAATTTTGTGTGTCATTGGGATTATTTTGTATCCACTTATGGTGATTTAGTGTCTCTATGGTGATTTTGTATCTATTTCTGGTTTTGTTGTGTCTCCTTGTGGACAGTTTGTGTCATTTCTTGGTAATTTTATGACTCTTTCTGGCTGTTCTGTGTCATTTTGTGTCTCTTTATAGTCATTTTGTTTGTCTTTGGTGGTTGTTTTGTATCAATTTGTGGTCATTTATTTTGTCTTTGGTAATTTTGTGTCTCTTTCTGGTTGTTTTGTATCATTGTGTGTCTCTTTGTGGCTGTTTTGTGTCACTTCATGGTAACTTTCTGACTCTTTAGGCAGATCTGCAGGTCAGTTAGTGGAACTCAGAGTTCAGACCTGGTGAAATAGTGTTTAGTTATTCTGACACTGGAACCAGCAGCTCCTCTTGGAACTTACATTTGCTCCAATTGTTTAACATTTCAAAGCTTTTTCCACTGTTTTGAAGTTGTCGGTTTTATTCCTTCACTTATTAATTACTTTAGCTTCGATACGTTCTGCTGTATTTTGTGTTTTTACTTCACTGATTCCCTCCGTTTGAGTCTCTCTCTGCAGTCTGTGTTCGCTCTGTTGAGCTGGTTTGGATGCATGTGGTTTCATGTGGTTTCATATGTTCAGTGTGTATTCAGTGTTGGACCTTTGGCCTGTGAGCTCTGAACTGTGCAGGTCACCTGTAGAGGCAAAGGCCTCCAATGCACCTCTTGATGGGCCTGTGGACCGAGTACATCCTGGTGCAGGGGTACATCTCCTCCCTGCAGTCTGCACAGAGTGGACAAACATGTCACATTACAGCTGCAGGAATCAGGAACAGAACCAATAAAGAGGCTCCTGGAGTCACTCACTGGCCGGCAGGACGCCTCCAGGCTCCTGGGTCGTCTCTGGAAACAAGCACAGAAAACAGAATGAGACCAGAACACGCCGGCGCTGACCCGAGTCGGTGAGTCAGACGGACACATGTCAGTGGTTCTGATCAGGAGTGTGAGCGTTACCGGGCTGCTGGGCTCGGCCGACAGCTGCGAGCGCTGCGGAACAGAAACCACATGAGGGGAGTGTTTCACGGCACCGAAAACAAACAATTAAACGGGACGACGATGATGTGTGTGTTCTGTTTGTTACCGTGGAAACAGCAGAGGAGCAGGACCACTGGGAGGCTGCCCATCGCTTCGGCTGGTCAGAGGTCAGCTTTACGAGCTGCAGGAAGAGGAAGAGAGGCGGCGTGATTTCACAGAGTGGAGCTGCTGCTGCTGGGATTTTTACTTTTTTCTCTTCGCTGTTTATGTTTCCTTCGGTATAAATCCTGGCGTTCCGGCCTTCTGTCATGTTTTCCTCGCAGCTGAACACACACACGTGCGGCTCCGGCGGGTTGATGTCATTTTCCTACATTTATTTATTCTAGTATTTATTGGACGGCTTGTAAACAGCCAGATAAAGAAAACACCTTGGCGCGGTGTTTTTCCTCCTCCTCCTCCTCCTCTTCGCCTGACTCCCTAATTCCTCCTCCTCCCTGCTCCCGCCCTGCGTCATTCCTCTTGTGATGTGTCAGTGCGACTTTGCCGTCCAAGATGTGAGTTCTCTCCAAAGAATGTGTTTTCGGTGCCCTCCGCCCCTCCTCCGGTACAGTCGCACATTCTTTCCCAGCGTCCACACAAAACATTTCCCAACTGTACGAGCAGCAGCAGCCAAAACTCAGACTCACACTTTTTCTCACAACTTGTCTGTTTTTTTTTTGTTTTTGTTTTTTTATTCCTGCAGCACACATTTTAATCTACCGAGCTGAAAACTGTCCTGCTGTAGCTGCTCTGCTCTGTCTGGGCTCCTGCCATGTTTCTGAACCGAGCACACAATCACACAAACCATCTAATCAGCTCTCTTATCTGGTCGTGTCCTTCTCTTCACACCTCTGGATGTCACCTCACATCTGGGTTTCCTACAGAATGTGTTTTTAAAAAAAAAGAAAAGCGGAATCAGATGAGAAAGAAACAGAATGAACTGGTACTCACAACTTTTTTTCCTGTCGTCCACAACTTGCTTTTAGTTTTATGAATCTTTTGTCTTCTCCTGTTTCCCCTCCTTCCCTCTCCTGCACCTCCTCCTCCTCTTCTTCCTCCTCCTCCTTCTTCCATCAGCCTTCGGTCTGCCTGGTCCAACTCCGGACACAATCGATGCCATTCTTCTGTTTGGTTCTGTGAGGAAAAATGCCATGAATAGTTTATTTATCCTGAATCAGATTAGTTCAATGTGAACACACTCTGAATCTGAACCCTCTCCATGACTCCGGCTGTATGTTTGGGTTTGTTGTTCTTCTGCAGAATGAATTTGTGGATGTTTGGATCCCTCACTGGTGGAGGAGTAGATCCCACTCAGACCCTTTCAGGGTGTCCTGTGGATCCTTTTGGCTGCAGGATGAGGCCTTTGCTGATCTGGTTTGTTCTGGAGTAAATGCTGCAGAAACTCTGACAAGCAGAACGTTTTGGAGAATAAAAATAAACTTTAAAGAGTGTTGAACTAATAAAACCACCATCAGCAGTAGAAAGATGTTCCACCATC